CTATGTAGGGCAGAGGAAAGACTTGAGGAAAGTCTTAAAAGCATGGCAATTCTGATTTTCTTTTAGCTATTTATGGACCTCTTCTACTTTATAAATGAAAACTGCAAATTATTCTCCAGAGACCATCTTTCCAGTTTCTGCTCTCAGGAATGCCTGGGGCATTTTCAGCGTTGCCTTCTTGTTTACCTTGTTAACTTGTCTTCTTGTTTCATTTGTTGGTTTTTTCCTCTATCTGCTTTTCATTTGTCAGGGTTTTTTGCAATTCTTCAGGTACAATCTATAAGAATTTGCTTTGGTTCTTTTTTCAAATCTGCCCAACTCACGTTTTAAACTCACCTTTTATTGCTTGCTTACTTTTCGAATTCTTTTTTAAGAATACATCGTAGTTTATGTATGTGAGAGTTCTAATATCTAGAGTTGGATCAGTATTTTAGCTTACTATTACATATATGATGTATTATTTGGGTATTATCATTTCTTGTGAGTGCTCACATTTACTTAATCTTAACCTGGGAAAATCCTAATTGTCTTGAAGGTCTTTTTCTCTGAGAAAAGACTTGTTTCTCCTGGGTGCCAGATTGCTTTGTATGTGAGTTGATGCAATCCTGTTTTATGAGTTCCTGATTTAACATAAGAAATTCCAATTTAGCACCTAGGCTTTGTTTGCCCAAAACTTAGTCTCATTATCACAGAGTAAACTAGCTTCCTCATTCACAACTACCAGCTTAATTTTCCAGTCTTTTCTCTTTTGCTCATGGGATATATTAGATACATATATTCAAGGGACATCACAATCCGTTGGTATAAAATAGTCTAAGATGTAGTTCTGCATCCTGCTTTCATGTTTAGTGATTGGTCTTAAAAGCTCGTGAGCAGCCATTAAGGTTTTTCTACTGATTTTTTTTTCCCCCACAGAGCAGAGAACAGTTAAGAAAATCAGAATTTGGAAAACTTATTCTAAAGAACCACACGAACATTAATCCTCCTGCTATTGAGGCCAGAGGACTAGATAATTCCCCAGTCCCACTGTACCTGATCTGAAGGGGACCATAACAGAAGGTCCGTCATAGAGTATGGGGAAAATAGAACACAAAGCTCAAATACGTAAAAAGACCAGCTTAATGGTCCGGTAGAAACTGATGGTACCAGGCTTGGAACTGAACTTACCCTGTGACTCAATTTCCAGCCAAACAAAAGCCAGGCCTGAAAGGTGATCGGAAATACTAGGAGAAAATGCATCCCTCAAAATAATCAACCAAACATGCTCAACAGGGCAGTGATTGACCAGAAATAAAGTTCAAAAGGCAGAAATAGAAGAGATAGAAGTGTCTTGAGATAACACTTCAAAGAAGCGTTTTGGAAACTTTCCATACTGAAGGTTTTGAGGTTCATCAGCACCTGCTCCAGGCATCTTTGCTCTCAGCAAGCAAAGTTGTGGCGCATCACAGCTTGTTCATGAATCTTCCTCCAGTCCTAATGCTGGATTCATCTTCATATAGTCTGTCACTGAATAAATGCACAGAACACTAGGGACATAGTATGAGGGAATTCTGTCGCAGATCGAAAGACCATGCCTCTCTGATGGAACAGATCCACTCGCAGCTTGCAGGCAATCTCCTCCCGCTCAGTCTGTAGCTTCAGAAACCCACTGGTCAGAAATCTGTTAAAAGCTATGAGTCAGAATCAGCTGAAGGGCAGTGAGATGATTAAATGGCATTGATTAGATGGCAGTTTTTTTATCTGCTACTGCAACCTTTGAAAAAACAAATGACATTTTCATAGATGCTTGCAAGCCTTTGTTAACATGCAAGGTAATTGGAAGAGGAGTTTTTGATTGGTTTATAGGAAAATCTCTGGGGAAACATTGGATCATCCTGGGAGAAGGACAGTTAGGTCTAGGTATCACTGACCATTAGGCCTGTGACATATGTTCTTATTCATAGGATTGACAGCAGTTATAAATTTTCTCTACTGTCTGCTTTTTTAACCTTAGAAATGGATTTTAAGTTAAGTGTCAGACAGGTGGATTTAATCCTGCCTTTACATAAATAAAAACTCAAGAAAACACTGTGTAACGGCCTTTCTGGAAGACTGAAGAGAGTAGGGAAATGTAGAATACTATGGGGAGGTTGGTCATTATACTTCATTTCTTCAGATGAGAGTTAACAAACAGTATATGAAAACTTCTTTATCTTTTCAGAGTGACTTTTTTTTTAAGCCAAGTAGTTAATATACTCTGAATTGAAAAATCTTGCATTTCTCAACTATGTGCCCTAAATAAGCAGGGATATTTTTTAGGATATTACTGTGGAATATTTTGAAGAAGTGGTTTTATTTAATACTTAGGTTTAATCTTTTGAGTAAAGTAACAAAGGTTCTATACTTGGCATATAAGTTACCAAATGTTCCAAATTTGAGACAAATTCCAATATATATCCTAGAATCTGACATACCTTTTACTTCTCTTTGAGAAGTAACATGATCACTTGACATCAAATCTCTTTCTTCTGTTAATTCTTAGACCAGCTTTCTCTCTTTCGTTCTTTCTATTTTTATTTTTTCTTCTGGGCATGAGTAAATACAGAGACCCAAGAACCAGGTTCATTACACGTTCCAAAAAAGAGCAGTCCTTTTTTTCTTTTTCTCTCATTTTAGTGTATGGTATGAGTCCAGTTATGACATTAAAGCAGCAATGGGCTTACCAAATACTAATAAACTTTGACTTATGATATCAGTTCATTGATAATGTCTTCTCTTACTGATGCTGATAGAAGTGATGTTTAACTGAGCCCTCTTTTGAGTATAATTCAATGCTGTGTTTATCTTACAAGTGTGTTTGCTACTTTAAAAGAAGGGACCTTAAGAAATTAGGTGAGATTATTGTTAGCTAGAGAGATGAAAGGGATGCATAGGAGCAGGTAAGCCGTATGATTTAAAGATTCTTGGCTGTGGGACAGAAACACTTGTCTAGACTGAGTACCTTAGGGAGAAGTCAGACAAGCATAACTAGCATTTAAATATTTTATAGAAAACACTACTTTGGTAGCCATAGAAAGGTAAGGTCATGGTTTTTAGAACTCAGTTTTTCTTTGATTTTTATGGAAAATTCTGTTGTTCTTAATTGAAAGGCCTTTATTAATTTTGTTATATAATAATGAAAAATTAAAATACCAACAATAAAGACAAAAAATAAAATGAGATACTTCAACAGCTGTCACTATAGTCTTTAATGAGGGAAGAATTAGCAAGGGAAAATAATAATAATAATAATAATAATAATAATGTATTAAGCATCAGTGAATCTCAATAGCACAATGGATATGTATTTTACTGCTGCTGACCAAAAGGGTGGAAGTCAAAACCTCGCAGCACCTCCAAGGGTTAAACCTGCAGGTCTGCCCCTGTCTAAAGCTTGGTGGGTCGGTTTTAACTCCTCATTAATAAGATTGTGATGATTCAGAGTCAATGCTGTGAGCAATAGGCACCATCTTTTCAGTCCTTTTTAAAAATCCCATTTGACATGCACTGTAGTTATTCCTATTTTATGAAGAAGTGACCTGAAAAGGGGCAGAACCTGTCAGGGTTGGAGATCTTAACCACTCAGATACCATTGTATGTATGTATTACTGAAGAAGTACAATAATTATGGTCACAATAGAGTTCTACTTTCTTTACCACTTTTTAAAAAAATTTTATTGTATCATTCAAAGTTCTGATAAGTTTGCAAAGCTTTCATATGTTTACCTTGATGTTTTCTTACGTGCAGTTTATTTGGCTAAAACTTGGAGCTTTGAAGGTCCAGGTGGTATGTCTAACCTTGTTACGTTCCAGTTTCTTAACTCCTTTCTCTGTAACCTCTCTCTCTGTTCTCACTGGTTCATGGTTCAGAATTCGCATGCAATTCAGTCTCTTGACAAGTGGTACCTTTTGTGTCAGCATTAGGAAATTGTCTTATTTTTTTGTTCTTGTAGCAATGTTTCTATAACATGTTTATTTGTCGTATAAATGGCTTGTAAATTTGTTGTGTAAAAGACTGACCTAGGCAATCGGAGACAATAACACAGTTTCTCTGAGAAAGTTTGATATGGTGAAGTAGTGATGTTTTCATGTCCCCCTCAAAAAACTATAGTACAAACCACACGGAAATAATGTAAAAGAGGGGCACAAACTAGAAGAGCTCATAGAACTCATCTGAGGACTCTGATGTAGATATGCCTGAGATGGGACTGTTGATTAGACATGCTTTGAAAAGTCCAGTTCTGATATTTTGGTTTGATTTTTGTTTTGTTTCCCCCTCTAATCATCTTAGGGTTTAAAATTTGCTTGATACCTTTTTTTCTTCCACCCTTTCTTTTTTTCTGCTAAATGATCATATAGCATGGGTGTGCTTATCACGTATGCCTAAGCATTCTTCCACTGTGGCCACTAGTGTATACTTGTTTAAGCTGATTTGCAAGGGAGAGTTAAACTACCCTTTACAAACTACAAGAGTATTTAGGTTTTAGATATTAGCTTGCTGTTATCAAAGCATGTTATATTTATTGTTCCTTACTTGAAAAGTTGATTTTTTTAAAAAAGGTAAATTTAGGCTATGTGAAAGAAATCTTCCTATTTATTTAACTAGATGAATATAGTGGTTAAATCCAGTCATATTTAGTTCACTCTAGTTTGGTTTCTCTCTTTAGAATTGTAAGCACGGAGTTGGGGAAGACATCCTGATTTTCCTTTACGGTCTACTCTGAGTATAATAATATGAACTCGTGGAATCCTACAAAACATATGTGTGTGTGTATATATATATGTAGTAATGATAGTGATAACATTTGTTTGCTTTCTTTGCAGTTCTCTCTTCCCTTTCAAATTTCTACACTGGAGTTATTTTTTGGGTTTCTGTTTGGTTTGTTATTTCTGGGTTTTTCAGGATTTTTTGGCTTGTTTTATTTCTCTCAATTTCTCTTCAACTGTCAGTGGAATTATTGTCTTCCTGTCTCCACATTCAGGTAGTGTCAGTGGCTGAGTATCACCGCAGGATCGATGCTCTAAATACTGAAGAACTGCGCACACTCTGCAGACGTCTCCAGGTGCCCGGTTCAGTAGTTTAAACTCTTCAGGGGTGGAGTGCTCCCTGGTTTTAGTGCCTTTTCTCAGGGCAAATCTTATATTTGAAAGATTTATTTTGACTACTGCACTAAAATAAACCACCAGAAAATTCCTTTCTGTATTAAAGAGTACAGTATTTTCATGAAGAAATACAGGATTATCTTTTCTGTCATCTTTTCATTTGAAAAATATTCAGAGGAATTTTCTGTTACTTTATGACTGTTCTCAGTTCTGTGTTTGTTAGAGTGATTTTTGTTTTAGTTTTAACATTGGATGAGTATTTCCCATCGGAACTTGAGATTGCACCTTGACTAAAACAAATCTGAAAGTTATACTTCTTTGGAGGGAGAAAAACTTACAGTCTTATTGGATAGCAAAGCCTAAGTGTTTACTCTGCTTTAAGGCTGCACAGTTCTCTCTACCCCCTTTCAGATATCTTAATTGTTGGTTTTTTTCTTGAGGCGTTCCTGGATGTTATTAAAGTACAGTGGAATAATATAGCTTGGGTTCTTAAGAATAAGCTAGACACTAGAACTAGATAAATTATTTAACATTCTGTGACATAATCTTTATTTTTAAAAAAAATAAAAGAGAATGTGACAAAATTGAACAGAAAATTATACAATTGAACTCATTTTCAGTTTTGTGTGTGTTATTAGTTATGCGTGTTTCCTCTTAATAAGATATTGCTTTGCTAAACCTGTTAATTTTTTTTTCTTTTCTTTTACTGCTTCTAATGGTGTCTTGGATTTATTTTTAACCTTTCACATCATCAAAATAAAACATGATGATGTGAAAGAATGCATTTAGTTTCTCATCAGAAAACTGTACAGTTCTAGAACATGTGTTGGTTGAAAATAAATTCTGTTCAGGTTTGGTAAGAAATCTCTTTTAAGAACAAAATACTTAAACAAGATTTCATCGCTCTATAGAACCATAGTCATCAAGCAAGCATTGCTGCATTTTAGTTATCTGCTCCAACTAAATTCTGTATACTTTCCTTCTTAAAAGTTTTATCAATAATAACTAGTTATCTTTTATTTCCCAGTGTTATTACATTGCTTATATTAAAATTAATACTGAAAAAAGCACCAACAGTACAGATTGTATAGTAGTTTTTTTAGTGAATCACATTTTTATCATTCTAAGAATATGAGTAAGATAATTTTCATAAAGAAAAAGCACATGTTCTATTTAATACAACCATAGGAATGTAATTATAATAATTTAAGAACAAATCAATTTTGGCTTTTTTTGGGTACAACTAGATTGTTTTTAAGATCCAACATTTTTACACAGTATTAATAAAAAATAAACCAAAAATAGCTAATGATAGATAGCATTTTAAATTTAAGTTAAGAAATATATGGATGTGTGGGGAGAGATTACTGGTGATGCAGAGCACTCAGCTCCTAAGCCAAGGTTGGCTGATTGAATCCACCAGTGACTGCAGAGGAAAGATGACACTGTTTGCCTCTATAAAGACTGTAGCCCAAGAAGCTCTGGGGACAGTTCTGTGTTATATGGAGTGTCTCTGAGTTGGAATTGACTATCAATAGCAAGCAAAGGTTTGGTATAGGTCACACGTTGGCCTGCCAGCTAGGAGGTGAAATTCACCAGCTGCTCTGTGGAAAAAAGGTGAGACAGTCTCCTTTCATGAAGATAGGAAGGACCATCATGAGTTAGAATAGTCAACAGCAGATGGTCTAATTTTTAGTTGTTTTAATATACATACATCGATATGTGTGTGTATGTTTATATATATATATTTTGTTGCTGTGTGCCATCAGAACTGACCATGGCTGACCCTCCAGCGGATTTTCAGAGGTAGTCACTTGCATTGGAGGAGACTGCTGTCCTTCTCCTGCAGAGCACCTAGTGTAGTGTGCCTTTGCCCCCGAGGAGTGCAGCGGAGCTTCTTACCACTAGGCCACCAGAGCTTGCGCGCACACACACACAACCCAAAATCTGGCATCTGCTGGTGCTCTCCATGTGGTTTCTGAGGCTGTATTGCTTAATGAGAGGAGACAGCCTCATTTTTCTCCCATAGAGCGGCTGGTGGATTTAACCCTCCAGTTTGCAGCCCACTGACCTACTGCCAGTAGCTTAGTTGTGAAGATTTGCAGTTGTTGTTGTTGTTTTTATGTGTCGTCGAGTCACTTGCAACTCATAGCAACCCTATGTACAACAGCCCTAAACCCTGCCCTATCCTGTGCCAATCTCACTGCCTCTGACACACCCATCCCGATCACCCCAGTGACTGAATCAATCCACCTCATAGAGGGTCTTCGCCTTCTGTACTGTCCCTCCACCCTCCCAAGCATGATGTCCTTCTCCAAGGACCTGTCTCTCCTTACAATATGTCCAAAGCATGTCAGATAAAGCCCCAGAATCCTTGCCTCCAAGGAGTAGCCTGGTTTAACCCTCTCCAGGATGAATCTGTTTTCTTGGCAGTCCATGGTACATTCAGTACTCTTCTCCAGCACCACAGCTCAAAGGTGTCAATTCTCCTTCTATCCTTCCTACTCATTGTCCAACTCTCTGATGCATAACAAGTGGTTACAAAGACCATGGCCTGTGTCAGGCGCACCTTAGTCTCCAGAGAGACACTGTTGCTCTTGAGTACTTTAGAGAGGTCCCTAACAGCAGACTTTCCCATCGCAATACGTTTTTTTGAT